GGGGCAGTGCAGGGGGAGGCTGCATCCCCTCCCATCCCGCCCCCGCTCCGCCCAAGGGAGGCGGTGGCCGCGCTGCACCCTCCCGGGGGACTAGAGCGGGGGAGGGGAGAGAGGGAGGTGTGGAGCCGGCTTTGTGAAGGATCTTGGCTCTGTTGGGCCATAGAGGGATGGGGAATGGAAAGATGTGCAGGGAGACATGGGACAGAGAGAAAAGGGAAAGGGATGGAGAGACAAACGAGGGAGGTGATAGATAGGGATATAATGGACAACGAATGAAGGACAAGAAGATGATGGATAGGAAGGTGTTGGATAAGAAAATGATAGACAGGGAGACAAAGGACAGGGGATGAGGGGCAGAGAGATGAAGGACAAGGTGATAATGGAGACAAGGAACAGAAAGATGAGGAATAGGGAGATGATGGGCAGGGAGAGCAAAGGACACAGATAAGAGAAAGGGGGATGGTGGACCGAGAGGTGAAGGACAGAGAGATGAAGGATAGGGAGATGATGGACAGACAAAGAGCAGAGAGAAGATGGATAGGGAGATGAAAGACAGGAGATGATAGCTCAGGGGTGATGGAGCAGAAGACAATGGGCAGGGATGTGACGGAAGGAATATGATAAACAAGGAGATGAAGGACAGGAGAGGATGGCTTGGGGGTGATGAAGGAGGAGAAGATGGACAGAGATGTGACAGACAAGGATATGATGGACAAGTAGATGAAAGACAGGTAGATAAAGGCTGGGAGATGATAGCCTAAGAGGCACTGCGGCAGGAGACACTGAATAGTGAGAGAATGACCTGGGAAATGATGGATAAGAAGATGATGAACAGGGAGAAGGAGAGGGAGAAGAAGGACAGGAGAATGACGGATGGGAGATGAAGGATAGGAGATGATATCCCAAGAGGCAATGGACCAGGAGACATTGAATAATGAGACAATGATCTGGGAGATGATGAACAGGGAGATGATAGACAAGAAGATGATGGACAGTAGACAAAGGGTAGGGAGATGAAGGACAATGAGATGATGGACAGGAAGGTAAAGAATGGGAGATGACATGATATTCCAGGAGGCAGTGGATCAGGAGACATTGGACAGAGTGACAATAAACTGGGAGATGAGGGACGGGGAGACAAAGGACTGAAAGATGATAGATAGATGATGGACAGGGAGATGATGGGCAAGGTGAACCCTGGGCCCTGCAGCTTTTAAATGTGATGGTTTAAATCCCTTCAAAATGTGAGGGGAAAAAAGTTCCTCCCATGTTGATCAGCAACTGTTAGCATGACATAATTTATCCCTAATTTCTTATTGATCTTCAGAAGCAAGCAGCTCAGGGGGAAAGCAGAAGGCTGTTCCCAAGCAGCTGGGGCATGCTGTGTCCTTCCGGCCTGACCTGGGGCCCACTTCCCTGCAATGCCACAGTTACCGATTAACCCCAGTAGGGACTGAGCGGGAAAATCCACATTTCTACTCATTAGTCTAAAGAAAATGCTCCAAGACAGCCAGGTTTTGCTGTTATTCCTGTCATGTTCGTTAGTTTTGATTTGACAAAGCAAAACAACTAATATACATTGATGTTACCATCTTCCTAAAATGTGCTTGGGATATTTCACCCCTTGGGTTACGCATCCATTCATTTAGATCACCTTCCTAAGGTCTTCCTGAATTCCCTGGTGTGAAAACAACCCAAATGTTTATTCCTAAGATTTACTCCCTAATATAAATCTGTGTTATTTTCACTTTTTTTCTTTTGCCCCTATCACCCAGCAATTGATACAGAAGTACTTTCCCTGCTGGTTTCACCACATGTGTTTTTGCTTCCTATACCCAAATCCATCACCTTGTAACCTGGACCAGATGATCTCTGCTGTGAGAGCGTTCCCATCCCAAGGGAGCCCAGAGCTGAAATCCAGACCCTTGGATCTTTCATCACATTAAAGAAAAAAATATATATCCAGGGCTCTTGTAGAGTGGCAGGCTGCCCAGCGCTCACTCTCACTGCTCAGTTTGGCTCCTGCAAGGCTCTTTTTAAAGGGAGGAGAGGAAATAAAAGAGAGGAAAAAGAAAGCAGAGCCTGCACACGACATTTTGGTATCAGAGTTCCCATTGAAAAATCAAAACCTGGGAGACAGCCCAAGTGCTTTGAGCAGCAATGGCGTGAGAGCAAGCTATAAAACACAGTGCCATGTATCTCAGTGGTGCCATTCATCATCAAAAAGCAGTTATTGCCCCTTGGCATGGCTCTGAGATTTCTGCTTAAAGTTGGACATGGATAGCAAGAATTTGTGTGAAAGAAAGCAAAAGTCTTTTTGGCAAAATGTTACCTATGGTCATAAATCCCATATGCACAAGAGTGACACTAAAGAACATTGAAGAGCTCTGTTTTTCTCCTTCTGACAGCAGTGGCTTTTTCTAATTACCACTCTTCTTTCTGCAATACCAGTTGATACCAATCAAATTTCTTGCCTCAAATAATACTGATTAATGGCGTTTCCTAACAACTCAGTTCCCCTGAATTTAAGGGATGGTTCTGCTTCTGGAAGGAGAATAAACTTCTGATCAAGGAGAAATCCCAAAAATGTACCGTAAAGCTGATTGAATGATTGAATGGCATTGCTCACCCTGTGGGTTGCTGCTGAGAATCCCCACCCTTGGGTTGGAGTAACAGAATGTGTTTAATCGATCTTCTAGCTGGAAAATAATACACTGTGCAAGTCGTTGAAGTTGTTGCTACTTTCCCTTCAGCTGTTCTGAGAAAAGGCATTTCTAGTTGTAATCCTGGTGTATGTAACCAGACAGGGAACCGTTTCACCCACAGTTCACTCACTGACTGTGGAATGGGAAAATTCAAACCCCAAACCTTGAGATGATGATTCCACCATTCACGTTATCATTAATATCTCCCTTGTCTTACACAGAGCCCATTTCCACCTAACATACTGCAATCACAACCCAAGAGTGAGCAGCTTTTGGACTCGATGATCTTTAAGGTCTTTTCCAATGTGAGTGATTCTGTGATTCTATGATTCTCGCAACAAGACCTATGAATGGTCTGCTCTGTGAAATAACCATCATCTACTCCCACCATGGTACTCACCATCTTTCCTCGGTGCCATTTTTTGCTACTTTTGTCCTTTGCTCCTCAAAGCCGACCAGAAAAGTGTGAGAGTTGAGAAATGTACATGCCTCTGTCGCTCTCCCAGAGCCCTGTGCCATACTTCAGGGCATGTTCCGAACCCCAGAGCTCTCTGGCTCGTGGACTAAGTCATCTTCAAGCACCTCTGCAGGGAGGATGAGAGCCTGTGCTGCACTAAAAGGTTTGATATTCCAAGAACATTGTGCTTAATGCAAATATTGATGCATACAAAAGTGACTACATTTCTTTTTAATAGTGTCCCTAATTACTAAAGAAGTAATTCATCCACAGCATTGGATCCTTGCAATCTGCTGTTTTTGATCCTGCTACAGATGTTGTTCGTTTTATCCAGAGCCCTATCATGTTCCATAACTAACAGTGTGGTTTCACCAGTGATCTATAATTCATCCCCTCCCTCCAACCCCAGCAAAAAGATTTGTGCTGAAGATGCAGAGGGCATTATTACAGCAATCTCTTTATTTCTAAAGGTTGTAATGACAATAACAAAACTGTGGTGCAGTTCAGTGGCTTGTTTGCAAGGGCTGGCAGACTAAGAGATACTACTACGTGAGCAGCTGGAGCTGCTGTGGTGATAAACCCAGAGGGGCTTATGAAAACGAAGGGGAAAATGAGATCCAATGGAGATTTCACATCTTTACAATTCTCCACCAACACACAGTTGTTATCTGCTGCATTACAGGGGTTAAAGGGAAAGAGCAAAGCAGCTCAAGCAGAAACTATTATTTCTGGGAATTATTTCCTTCAAAAAGCTTGTTTTTATTACTTTTGTTAAGGTTCAATGCAAGACAGGCAGGCATAATACAGCTGCAGAATGATGTTTCTCTGATACCATCTTTAATATCTGCAGAACCACAGATTTGTGCTGCCTTGGGTTGTACCCAATAACCAGGCAAAGAAATTCAGCTTCCTGCCTCTATGCCCACAGCCAGAGAAGTGTTGCTGTGCTTGTCACCTGAAATGTCTGCATCAATTGGAAAGGATCGGGCAGGTTGGTGGCACCAGGATTTGTTGGGTGCAAGCTGCGGCTGCAGGGATTGTGTTGGAGGTGAAGTAGCTGTGAAGTAGCTGGAGGAACTGGGGTTGCGTTGTACACGTGCAGATCCAGATACACGTGTGGGTACAGATGTGGGTACAGCTTTACGCGTAGGCAGAAGTGCAGGTGTAGATACAGGAATAGGTGCCAGGGAAGCTACATGTAGAGTTACAGCTGGAGTGCACGAGTAGCCATAGCACCGCCCCGCCACCGCGGCTCCCGGTTCTCCGTCGCTAAGTGATGTAAGAGCACCACGTGACCACCTCAGTGACGTCATCCCCGCGCCGCTCGCGGTTCTCGGAGCTGCATGGCGCGCTCCGGGCCCAGCCGCCTGGCGCTGGGGCTGGCGTTGGGCGCGGCGGCGGCCGCGGGCCTGGGCCTCGGCCTGCTGTGGGCATTTCGGCGGCGGTGCGGCTGGCGGCGGGGCGGCGGCAGCGGCCGGGAGGCGGCCCGGAGGCGGCCCGGAGGCACGGCGGGACTCGGGGACGGCGGCGCGGAGGTCGTGGGGAGTTGGAGCCAGGGTAAGGCCCGGGGCCGGGGTAGGACCGCAGGGAGGGCCCTCTGATTCCTTCCCAGAGGTACCGGCAGCCGTTCACCAGTTGAGGCTTTCTGTCAAGGCCATCTGGGTGCACCTGCTCTCCCGTCAGTGGAGGACGCCAGAGTTGTTGGGTGTCATGCCACGTGCAGTATGGCAGGAAAGCGATAAGCCACCGCGATATCGAAAAGATGCTTTTGTAGCATGAACAGGTTCAAACGCTCTTCACAAAAACCTTGGAAACAGTGACAAGGCTTTAAGATATGAGACATTCAAGGCAAAGTGCTCTCCTATGAGCAACTTCTGTTTATTTATTTTATTTTCAGTCTAGGCTCCTGAATTCTGCATGTCAACAAAGTGAAACACCTGCTTGTACCCACTCTCTCAGATCGTCAGGTGCAACTGTCAGCCCATCGCCACCATGCCCCTAGAAGGAATTATAGAATCATTAGGGTTGAAAAAGAACTGTAGGTCATCTAGTCCAACCAATCAGTCCGTCACCACCGTGCCCATTAAACCACGCTCAAGGCCAGGGAAATTACATCTTTTCATGACTCTACTGCTGGGACATGACACCAAGCTGGGAGGTGGTGTCGATCTGCCTGAGGGTAGGGCAGCCCTTCAGAGGGATTTAGACAGGCTGGACCGCTGGGCTGAGGTGAATGGGATGAGGTTCAACAAGGCCAAGTGTCGGGTCCTGCACTTTGGCCACAACAACCCCATGCAGCGTTATAGGCTTGGGGATGAGTGGCTGGATGATTGTGGAGAAGAGAAGGACCTGGAGGTGTTGGTTGATGCTCAGCTGAACATGAGCCGACAGTGTGCCCAGGTGGCCAAGAGGGCCAACGGCATCCTGGCCTGCATTAGAAATGCATTAGAAATGGTGTGGCCAGCAGGAGCAGGGAGGTGATAATCCCCCTGTACTCAGCACTGGTGAGGCCGCACCTCAAGTGTTGTGTTCAGTTTTGGCTCCTCACTACAGGAAAGATGTTGAGATCCTGGAGCGTGTCCAGAGAAGGGCAACGAAACTGGTTGAGGGGTCTGGAGCACAAGTCTTATGAGGAGCAGCTGAGGGAGCTGGGAATGTTCAGCCTGGAGAAGAGGAGGCTCAGGGGAGACCTCACTGCACTCTACGACCTCCTGAAGGGAGGTTGTGGTGAAGAGGGATTTGGCCTCTTCTCCCAGGCATCGAGCAGGACACGGGGTAATGGCCACAAGTTGTATCAGAGGAGGTTCAGATTAGACATAAGAAAAACTTTTTCTCTCAGAGAGTGGTCAGGCACTGGAATGGCCTGCCCAGGGAGGCGGTGGAGTCACCATCCCTGGCAGTGTTCAAGAGGCGTCTGGATGAGGAGCTGTGAGATATGGTTTAGTGCTAGTGGTGGCAATGGTGATGAAGAGACGGTTGGACTAGATGATCGTGTAGATTGTTTCCAGCATGTGATTCTATGATTCGATGATTCTTAAAGTCCAGTATCTCTTAAAACAGATGTATGTAGAATAGAAACGGAACTTATTTTGCAGTAAGGTGTTCTTAAAAAGAAGCATTTTGCTCAACTGCCATGGTCTTTGTGGTATTCAATATGGATTTTGTAGTTTTTTAAAGTGTTTCACAAGGGGATGTCTGCAGAAGTGTCACTGAGAGAACTCACAGAATCATGGAATCACTTGAGTTGGAAAGAACCTTTAAAGATCATTTAATCCAACTGTCCTGCAATGAACAGGGGCGCCTGCAGCTCGATCAGGGTGCTCAGGGCCCTGTCTAGCCTGACCTTGAATGTTTCTAGGAGTGAACTCTATTCACTCTGTTAGCATTGTGGAAGTGTTTAGTGTGACTGCATGCTGATGTCAGGATGGGGTGGTAAACCAGTGCAGGAACCAAAAGCACCAGGCCAGGTCAGGGGGCAGTACTCAAGATTAAACTTTATGCCCTCTGTTTTCTGAAGACAAAATTGAACTGACATTTCCTGTGAGAAACCCTTTCCCATTTCCCTGTACTCAGCACTGGTGAGGCCACACCTTGAGTATTGTGTTCAGTTTTGGATCCCTCTCTACAAGACAGACGTTGAGACCCTGGAGCGTGTCCAGAGAAGGGCAACAAATCTGGTGAGGGGTCTGGAGCACAAGTCTTATGAGGAGCAGCTGAGGGAGCTGGGATTGTTCAGTCTGGAGAGAGGAGGTCTCAGGGGAGACCTCACTGCACTCTACAACTTCCTGAAGGGAGGTTGTGATGAGGAGGGGTTTGGCCTCTTCTCCCAGGCAACAAACAGGACCCGAGGAAATGGCCACAAGTTGTATCAGAGGAGGTTTAGAATAGACATCATGAAGAAGTTTTTCTCTCAGAGAGTGGTCAGGCACTGGAATGGCCTGCCCAGGGAGGCGGTGGAGTCACCGTCCCTGGCAGTGTTCAAGAGGCGTCTGGATGAGGAGCTATGAGATACGGTTTAGTGGCTTGTGGTGGCAATGGTAATGGGAGGACAGTTGGACTAGATGATCTTGTTTGTAGGTCCTTTCCAACCTTGTGATTGTATGATTTTCATCTGATAACCTTTTTTTCTGTCTTGGTTTCTCAAAGGTCTAACCAGAAAGCCAGTTCCTTTAGGGGCAGGAGATTGTGCTGTGTATACACCTCTGTTAACACATGGTGAGCAGGTGGATGTGGTGGACCGCCTGGATTTTGTGCTGACAAACATCTTGGAGCTGAGGAGGGAAGTAGAGGAACTACGAAACAGCCTGCAGAACCTTGCTGCAGATATTGTGGGTGAAGTCAGGTTAGCGTCTGCCCTTCTTGTTTTGTCATCTTTTGTCTGCTGTTCTGTGTTTTATGTTCTACAGCACAGGGAAACATCTTGAACAGTTGTGTGTCTGTTAAATGGAAAAAGTGGAAAAAAATGTCTCTTTAGTTTCTACTGCCGTTATATCTTGGCAGTGAGATTATGTTGAAATAAGACCAAGTGCTAGGTCCTGCTCTTTGGTCACAGCAACCTCATACATCACTACAGGCTTGGGACAGAGTCAGTGACAAAACTGCATGGAGGAGAAGGATCTGAGGGCGTTAGTCAGCAGCTGGCTGACTAGTAGTGTACCTGGGTAGCTAAGAAGGCCAGTGGCATCCTGGCTTGTATCAGAAATAGTGCAGCCAGCACGAGCAGGAGGTGATGATCCTTCTGCAGTCAGCTCTGATGAGGCTGCGTCTTGAATACTGTGTTCAGTTTTGGGTCCCTCAATGCGAGGAAGACTTGGATCGTATCCAAAGATGGGCAACAGAGCCGTGAGGGGACTGGAGCACAAGTCTGACGGGGAGCAGCTGAGGGAACCGGGATTGTTTGGCCTGGAGACGAGGAGGCTCAGGGGGGACCTCATAGCTTTCTACAGCTTCCTGCTGTAGAGGTTGTGGCAAGGTGGAGGTTGGCTTCTTCTCCTGGGTATCAGCAACAGGACAAGAGGTGATGGCCTTGAGTTATGCCAAGGGAAGTTCAGGTTGGCTGTTAGGAAAAATCTCAGAAAAAGTGGTTGGGCATTAGAACAGGCTGCCTAGAGAAGTGATGGCGTCACTCTAGGGGATTTTCAAGAAAAGTAGAGATGTGGCACTGAGTGGTATAGTGGAGTTGGGTCCTTGCTTGGACTTGATGATCTTAGTGGTCTTTTCCAACCGTAATGATTCTGTGATTCTGCAGTGTGTTTCGGAATTCCTTTGTTCACTGAGGAAAGCATATGATAAAATTATCCTTTACTGTGTGGATTTCAGTGGTCAGACTTGCTTTAACTGTAGAACACAGTCTTTGCTGTATGGTAATGAGATGTTTGTATAAGCAAGAGCAAACCACTTTGTGATTTCTTTGGGGCTAGAGCAAATTGGAGAGAAACTGCTGGAGAGCAGGAGGCGCAGTAGCACAATGTCAAGTGCTCATTTGTTCTTCTTTTTGCCTTTCTTATAGGTCCCATCTGGAAGAAACACAGAGAGTAGCACGCCGAAGGCGGTTCCCGTTCCATAGAGAAAGAAGTGATTCCACAGGGTCCAGTTCAATTTATTTCACTGCTAACTCGGGAGCAACCAACACAGATGATGGAGAAAGTGAAGGCGGGTAAGGCAAACACCATGTTGATGGCTGCTTTTGTAGGTTTTGGTGTCCAAATGCTTGTTTCTGAGCAGTTTATAATGTGAAGGTGGGTTTAGTTTGTTTGTTTTTTCCTTCCAGTTGGCCTGAATTGTACCTTTGGAATATAGATCTCTCTCTCTCTCTCTCTTTATATGTATATATATATATATGTATGTATGTATGTATATGTTTGGATTACATGCTAAAGGTGCTTGCTGAAACCTGATAAAGTTCCCTGAGTATCTGAACAACTGTACAGATCAAAACAAACACACACACAGGTGCAAAACCTCTGAAGGTTTAATACAAAATATTGGGAGCATCAGTCCGTCATTGGTGTATTATGGGTGATAAGGAGCTTTTGCTCTTTTTTTTTTTTAATTGTATGGAGTTAAATTTCCATACAATAAAAAATACATTATAAAGGGTCTAGAAAACTTGAGAAAGCTAAAATATATTCATGTTAATTACAGTGTCCTTTGCGTAGAGTATTTCTGCTAAACTTTTTTCAATATGGCACAGTGATCACTTATGTTGCTTAGGTTCTTTAAATACGGCTGAAAACACACAAAAAAATCCAATCTAAGTGCAAGCAGAGATCTGCTCCTTACATATTTCATTCTTTCTGATTAAATGCTTCTGTGCCTTAATCAGATGAATTTCATAGCTTTTCAGATGTGTAAATGTTTTGTAAAACATGCAGTGCTGGCACTAACCATTTTCCCAAAGGTATGAAACATAAAATAAAGACAGAGTTTTATTACAGCACAGAGAGAAAGTCAGAATTTGGGTATGCAGTGCTGTTTGGTAGCAGTCAAAGAAGCAGTGAGCATTAGAGAGTGACACTTTGTAGCACGTTTGTAATCAGAGCACAAAGCTGCCATTGCTGTAGCAGCCTCCTAGAATAAAGGACACAGATCTGAGGGAAAACGGGCTTTGTTGCTTCCATTAAAATACTGCGTTACTGTCTCAGTCAGTGCAATTTTAGAAGCAAGAAAGAGCTGATGAGGTCTCCTAAGGTTATAGATGTGCTTCATTCATCTGAAATGAGTGCTGAGTGTTCATAAAAAAAGCAGAATTTGGAGTGAGTGATTCATGGCAGTGTGACATTTAAGAAGGCTACATAACTAATTTTAAATTGACAGGGCCTGTGCTAGCTGGCTAGTAATATATGTGTTCAGTCATCAGGTTTCCAACGTGTATTTTGTAAGGCACGCTAAATAGGAGAGTGTTTTTCAACAAAAACCTGTCCTGAGTGGCATCTGACCATTAGAAATGTATAAATTATGCTAAGGGCCAAGAAGGATCCTGAGGTTTGCTTGGGCTTTCACCTTGGAGGACCTTAAGTGAAGTGTGGAGCAGGGGATGTGTTTTCTTGTAGAACCTCATATATGGTTATGGCTATATGGGGTCATTGCTGTCATGTTGCTATGTGACGTTAGGGGGAGTTTTCACTTGTTGCTTAAAATATGTAAGTAGGTTTAGTGTTTGGTATGAAGAATTGGTGGGTAAGGTCTCATCTGATTTGATTTAAAAAGTTTGAGTAGTGTATCGTGTCACTCTGATCCAGTTTGTCATGTACGAATAGGTATAATGTTAGCAGTGTTGTCTTCTATGGATACAACTTGAACTTTTCACTTTTTGGAAAACAAACTAAGCTTTTTAGCAACCACTAGGAAGAAGAATAAGACTACCCTCAGCAGATACATTTCAGCCACGTATTTATTTCTGACAGTTACATTCTTTTAATGAAGTTTGGGGGGGTGAGGGGGAGAAGTTATGTTTCAGCTTTATTTTTTAAACCACGTGGACATAAGCATCTTCTCTGATTTCATACACGATTGGCAAAAATCATTACAAGTTGTCATGAGCCTGAGGATCTTGGGCTGCTGCAGAACTTAATTTCTGTCTATTGTTTTGGCAAGGCTTTGGTCTTTTGGACTGCTTTGCTTTCTTCCACGTTCTTTTCAGTTCCAGACAATATGTTTTCATTTTCCATCAGGATGTGTGCCAGCCAGAGGCCTCAATATACAAAAGCCATTTAAGTACTTTCCTTCACTGTAAATTTCAGGAAAAGAGTTGGATAACATCTAAATCCTGTAATTTTCCTAAAAACTCTGAGTTTATGAGGTTATAAAGCATTGCCTCTCTTGTAAGCTAGCAGCATCTTGTATGTGCTGTCCTGGAGAAAAAACACGTTTTTGTGTTGGAGAAAAAAACGTCTATTGTTGCTTGTTTTTAAAGACCATATTGTATTTCAGCATGGGAAACGAAGTAAGTAAGCTGAAGTACTGAAATCTCTGCAGCCACCAGGAAAATGCTGTAGTGAAACACCATCCCTGCTGCAGAGCCCACAGGACAGGATGGGAAATAATGAATCAGGCTAAATGTAAGCAGCAAAGAGAATTGCAGGAGTTTTTGTTAAGTGCTGAAAATGAAGTAGTCTGGGGAACTGATAGCAGCATTACTAAGAAAATACCAAGAAATCAAGCTTTTAACTCAGTTTGAAATAGACCCGCACCAGTGTCGCCTACGTGGTTGCTACAGCATCCATTAAATTCATTGCTGCCTACTTAGTCTTAAGCTTGTTGTCTTGTGTTCAGCTTTGCAGTGATAAGGCTGATTGTTACTCTATTTTTCATCTTAATTTTTCACTACAAAACTGTACTTCTTAAAATTTATGGATGAGGGTTTTTATTTACTCTCTACCAGAGAGGGAAATGCTTGAGCCAAGGGGATGGTTCTTAGAAACTTGAAGTTTTGATAGCCAAATGTGTTTTGTTATCTGTGTGTGGCTAAATGGGTGTCACTGCTTTCTTCAGATGCAGACCCTGCTCACATATCTCTGTCTCCAGACAAGGGCAGCTTTACACACAGAGCACAGGGCTCTGTCTTGAGTTACTTGAGCTGTAGTTGCTCATTACCCCCAGGCTTGGTGGCTTTTAATCCTAAACAAAGTTTTCAGTACGTGGTTTGGTCACCGTTCATTTGGTTAACAACTGCAAACATCTCCTAGAATTAAATATTTATGGGATTTGAAGTATTCTCCTTCTGAGGAGAGCCTTCTATCTGAATGTGGAAGTGCAAATTTCTGAAATCCCTGGGTAACTTGGGCTTATTCTTTGACCAAATACTCAAATAAATGTGAAGGGAGGAGAAATAATTTTAAAAAAACTTCTTAATCTATTAAATTGTTTGAGCGCTTAGTTATATAAGCAAGCATCTTCCTGCAGCGATATCAGTCAATATGTAATGCTGTTTTAAATGTGCCCGTGTGTATTTGGAGGAGCTCAGTTTTGGCCATTTTCGGAATCTCCGCTTTAAGCTTTATGGTATGTTGTTTGATTAATTTAGCAGCTAATCATTGCTCACAGGGTGCCTTTCTGTGGCTCATCTGCCATCTCCTTGCTTGACTTCTCAAGTGAAATAGTTCGGGTCTCTCCCCTCCTGTTTTGCAATGTTTCACATGTCAGTGTGAACA